CTGCTTGTCCCAGTCCCTTTCCCTGTCTCCACCCCATCCCCTATCCCCAGTCCTGGTTCCTGTTCCCTGCCTTAAATATCCATCCCCTGTCCTGTCCCCACCCCTGTCCTGCTTCCAGTCCCAGACCTTGTCCCAGCCTCCATTCACATCCCTACTCCCGCTCCGTATCACCTACTCCCGTCTCCTGTCCCAGGCCATGTTCCCACTAGGGTCCTTGTGCCCTTCCCTTGTTCCCGTCCCCATCCAGTCCCCCGTCCCCACTCTGCTGGGGCCCTGCAGTGCCCTCCCGCACACTCTGGCATGCTCCTTGGTGCTCCTGGCATGCACCCTGCTGCACGCTCCTGTGCGCTCCTGCACCCTGCTGCATGCTCCTCAGTGCTCCTGCACCCTGCTGCACACTCCTGCATGCTCCTGCCTGCTCCTGCACCCTGCTGCATGCTCCTGCATGCTCCTGCACCCTGCTGCACGCTCCTGCCTGCTCCTGCATGCTGCTGCACCCTGCTGCATGCTCCTGTGCTCTCCTGTGTGCTCCTCTACGCTCCTCCATGCTCCTGCACCCTCCTGCATGCTCCTGTGTGCTCCTCGGTGCTCTTGTACCCTTCTGCATGCTCCTGTGCGCTTCTCCATGCTTCTGCACCCTGCTCCTCAGTGCTCCTGTATCCTGCTGCATGCTCCTGTGCGCTTCTCTATGCTCCTGCACCCTGCTACACACTCTTCTACGCTCCTGCGTGCTCTTCCATGCTCCTGGGTGCTCTTGTACCCTTCTGCATGCTCCTGTGCGCTCCTGCATGCTCCTCTCCGGTTCTGTGCACTTCTGAGTGCTCCTCCATGCTCCTGCACCCTCCTCGGTGCTCCTGTACCCTTCTGCATGCTCCTGTGCGCTCCTGCGCACTCCTGCACGTGCTCACGCCGCTGTCCCGCAGACGACCTGTCCTACATCGAGCACATCTTCGAGATCTCGCGCCGGCCCGACCTGCTCACCATGGTGGTGCAGTATCGCACGCACGTGCTCAAGATCTCCGAGGAGGACGAGGTGGACACCAAGCTCACCCGCATTCCCAGCGCCAAGAAGTACAAAGGTGGGAACCCGCGGGGACCCCCTTGTCACCCAGGCTGGTGCCAGGGACCTTCCTGTGACCCAGGGCATGGTCATGGTGTGTCTGTCCCCAAGGGAAGTGCTAAAACCATGAGATCAACTCCAGGGACCCCCTTGTCCTCCAGGGCAGTGCCAGGACCTCTACAGCAGTGTCAGGGCTGCCCTTGTCCCCAGGGGCTGGACCAGGGACCCTGCTGTCCCCAGCGGTAGTGCCAGGACCCCTCTGTCCCCCGGGGCAGCACCAGGGGCTCCCTGTTACCCAAGACAGTGCTAGGGACCCCCTTTTTGTCACCCAAGAAAATGCCAGGGACCCCCTTGTCCCCCAGGGGGGTGCCAGGACTCCCCCCCACCCCGAGTCCTCGTGCCACAGGGGGGGACACGGAGGCTCCCGCTGACCCCCCTGTCTCGGCGGACATCATCCGGCAGCC